CCCCAAAACCCCAAAACCCCTTGTTCATCAAATTAAAAAAGTTGATGATAAATATGTGCATCAATTTAGGATAAACAAGGTGAAATATTTGTACGAAACTATTAAAATTAATATATTGCTCAATGAGTCATTTATTCATTATCTTTTTAAGCAATTCGCTCAGAGTTATCAATAATTCTTTTTTGTTGCGAGATCTTTTATTTTGATATCAAAGGCTCTAAAAATATCTTTAATTTCCTTAACTTCCTTGTAGCTAATTAACTCATAGTCTGCTTCTTCGAATACGAAATGCTCTATTCTAACAAAATCCATGGATTTGTTGAAAGTTTAGATGAATTTTTTAACTAGCTTCTAAACATCATCAGTCAATTCAACAAGGCTATATTAAGTATTAAGAATTCACTATAATTTACCTGTCACCAAGTTTTTGAATTCGGTCTCTTGTGGGCTTTTCTTATTATTCATGGTGAGATTGCTCTCCCAATCCATTTTATGACCTAGAAGGCTTAATGAATAGCTCATCCTCGATGTCCTTTTCACTCTTAATATTCATTACTGTTTTTTTCATCTCTTCCAAAATTACCTCTCTTTCATAAACTTTGAATAGAAATTCAAGTATCTCCTCTCTAACTCTGAACAATGATCTCATCCTTTCCAATAAATATTAAAGCTTATCAAACATCGATCCACCAAAACTCTTATCAACATAAATCTTGTCAAGCTCCTAGTTGAAATCATTTTAAAGCAGTTCTCTTAATAAAATCTCAAGAGTATTATATGCCTTTTAGATAAATGGAGTGCATAGTCTGTTGGTTTCTTCGTTATATTGTTAATGATCATTTGCTTTAACCCCTATCATACTCTTTACATAGTCTATCTCATCCTCTCTGAAAACTTTGTTATCTTATTGTTCAAATATCTGTTTGTTGTTTTTTCTTTGGATTATGTATTCTTGGTATATCTTGGAAGTCTTCCAATCAAGAGTGGACAGTAAAGTCTTTCCCAATGAGATGTGCTCTGAATGCTGAATACTATTCTTGAATGAACTTAATGGCTTGTTTTCTTTAGTATCATAGTAATCAGTCTTAATCTTTTATTTAAGTCTGTTTTACATTACTTTCCTTTCATTGTGAGCTTTTTACTACTCCTCTAGTTGCTTTAACCTTTACTGCTTTCTTTCTTAGGCTGGATCTTTCATCATGTGATGACTTTCATTGAATGTTCTATTTTAGTCTTGCTAAACTCTAGTCTTGTTATTGGCTGACTGAATGTTTCTCAGTTATTTCGTGATTCTAAAATCTTTTTTTTCAAAGTTATTCTTTCTCTAAGGAGATTACAATTTGAACTTATCAGAATTATCATTGCCTCCATAGATTCTTTTGATTTCCTAATCTTTATTGAATTTATAAAACGAGTCATCTTTTTGACTTGGACTTCTGATCAAACTTTGTCTACTTGAGCTGGGCCTTAGATCTTGGCCAAAAGTTGTAGTATGTGTGTTTCCTAATTATAAACCAGTCCTGCTAACACTCTAAACAAGTTTTCTGGATGATAGCAAAGGATTAATTTTAGGTGATGCAAGTCTGCTTCTTGAAGTTGGTGTTCCTTGTTGCATTATCAATAAATTCTTCTGAGAATTACCTCTTTTATGCATTCCAAGTGCAGAAGATCCATTATTAAATTAAAAGTCAAACCTCTTCTTAGGTGTGAAAGCACTGTTAAACTAGCTATCAGTGTCATCATCATCATCATGTCTTGGTGTTGGAATAGCCTCTAATAATGCAGCTGGGTTTTCCTTAAAGAATTTGAGGGTCTACTACCAATCATCTTAATCTTTTTTATTATGAGTAAGCTCAGACTATCGTTAACTTTACTTTGCTGGGGTCTTATGTTGCTGATGATTCTAAATATATTCTCTGACTTTATTAGGATCTATCAAAGATTTTTTAAGCTCTTATCCTCTATTGTACAAACTAAAGCCATAAAGCTACTCTTCAACTCCAATTATGTTATCAAGGATTTTAATTGGGAATTCTGCATCCTAAGATAATCTAAGCATTCTATCAAGAGGTCCCTTATTACTAGCACTAGATTTTAGTTCATTTTTTAGAATCAAGCTCTCCCTTGGATCGGCATTATAGTAGTCAGCTATTTTAATTGATTTAACATTGTGTTGGAGTGATTAAGAACTAGTTGGATTTTCTTAAGGGAGTTTATTAACACTCTTTCGAATGAAGTTAGATCGAGTGCTATTCAAGCCTGCTGAGGTTATCCTGTTGGTATAATTCGATTAATTCAAACTTTGTCTGTTCTGATTAGCTCCAGTGAGTTTATTCATACTCAACCTTGATCTTTAGACTGACTAGTTATGCCCCTAGTTATTTTGACTTTATAAAATAAAGGAATCTGTTGAGAATCTTTTAGTACTTCCGATTCTGGTATCATGATCAGCACCACCACCTTACTTCTAACTCATATTCAAATCAAGTTTTGGCTTGAAACCCATAGATTATTTAGAATCACTATATTTCAACTGAGATATTGATCTACTATTATTATTTGTCATTCTCTACTAAGATTAGCTTGTATTTCTTCTAGTTTGAATAATTTACTTGAGTCGCTCTCTTACTCCAACTTGATTACCGGTTGAAGTTCTTTACTATTAATAGATTTGATCTTAAGTCTGATTCATCATCCTAATCTTCTATGTGGTATTGTTCTGAATTTATTGCTAGGCGTGTTGATTAAGCTATTGAGATTGAATCATAGTTGAGAAGGGCTTAGAGCTAGTATTTCTATTAGCACTTTTAATCATAGAATATGAAGTTCTTTAGTTTTTATTTGTAGTTGTTTGAGCAGTTTAGCCATTTGATGTCTGAGGTCTGCTTGTTACTTGCTATTTTTTGTTAGATTAATTTAGGTTTATAAATTTCTTGGTTTATGTACTTTAGATCGGCTAAGTTTATTAATTCTTCAAAGATTGCTACTGCTAGAGTTAGTTCATACTTCGGTGTACAGATTATGGATTTCTTTGTTTTCCAACTGCTGTGACTGGCTTTAATGGTTAAACTTTCCCATCTCTACTTTTTGCTATAGGATTTTTATCTGTAATCAGAGATTTCTAATTATGAGATACAATCTACTGCTATAGGTCTGGGTTCAGATTCTCTTATTCCTCCAGCAGATTAACCTTATCTGCCTCTTCCTAGTTGTTTAGAATAGTCAGTTCTTGCAATTTCAGTTTGTCCAGCTCAGAGTAATCTTGATTTTAGTAAACTTAATGTTAAGAATTCTCAGTGTCGTTTCTTTGTAAATTGACAAGACTTTCATCAGTTTTGAACATTTATATAGTTTATCTGACATTCTCATTGTTTATTGACAATGTCTAATTCTCTGCTAATCGAGTTTTGGTTGATTCAATATTAATGTCTAAATTTCTCTTAGAAGTATTAAGCTTTGAGTCAATGGGGAATAATTAATTTTGACTTTTTTGTGAGGCTTAACTGCTATCAAGATTGTTATTTTTGCTTGGATTCTTCATCATCTGCTACTTTACATCTATTAAATCTAATTTCCTGTTTATTTCTAGTTCACTTTCATTGTGAAATGAATCTTATTCATAGCTAGCATCATCCTTAACGAAATCTTCTTCGTAATTTTATTCCTCCTGTTCCTCTTGAAAATCCTGCTCATAGTCATCTTGGGATCCAGATACATTTGCCATTTTAAATTTTGAGACTTTAAAAATTAAGAAATTAATACCGATTGAATGAATATAATTTTAAACAATTTTAAGTTAATAAAGTAAATGAGCTGTTTTTGAATAAATAAATTTGCATCTTGTTAAAATCTTTAACAATGCAAATAAAACGCTCAAAGATTAAATCTCTAAGAACTAAATGGCTTCAAATAGTAGTCTTCATATTCTTTATTCAAACCCTCATATTCATTCAATTATGCAAGGAGTTTCGAGGTTGCAAAGCCTTGAGTAATGCCTCTACCTCCATGACCAGAATTAAGAATGAGATTTGTAAATGGCCTTAATTTACCTATAATGGGTTTATCATCAGGAGAGCACGGTCTCAAGCCACACCATTCATTAAAGGATTTAGTCATTATCAGCTCTTCACCATAAAATCTAGAGGCTATTTGCTTCATGTAGTTAATTCTCTTTTGGTCAATTTAATAGTTAGAACCAGCAATGTCTCCAAATCCACTGAATCTAATGACGTCATTATTTAAATAAGTAGCAACACATCCGACTTAACCCCATTTTAAATGAGTATCTACTCCTTTAGTTGGAGATTTAAATTCAAATGAATACCCCTTAACAGGCACAATGGGAATCTCTATCTGGAATTATTTGGCAAGTAAACTAGGTGTTTATGGTCCAGTGCATAGATAGAATTCGTCTCCTTTTATTACTTTACTTATGCCAGATTAATTTGATTAAATGCTTAATGATTTTACTTGCTGGCCATCATGCAAAAAGGATTTGACATCTTATCCCAAATATGATTCAAAATTCTTTTTCCTCAAAAGTAATTTGTGTATAGCCTTAGAAAATTTATAGGAATCAACCTTAGCTAATGGTTCCATCAGACATAAATTATACTATTCTTGCCCTCTGACATTGGGAAACTTGCTAAGAAGCTTTTCTTCTATATCTTTTCTCTCGTAAAAATTGTCTAGTCCAAAGTTTGCCTTTAATTTCTGTTTAAGATTTTAGATCTTATCTTTATTCACTGAATAGAGGTTAGCATAGCTGCAGTACTCTTCATAATCGATTTCATTTTTATCAATCTTATTATCTTGTATCATTTGTTTTATCAAGTCAAAGTTAAATTGATTAAGTCTCATACTCTCAGCACAATCATTATGAGGATTATTTGCTTTTAGCCAGTAGTATGTATATTTGAATACTCCGGGTTCAAACAAAGCTGGGAGATCTATTTTCTAGACTACTTCATTGAAGAATATTCCCTTAGGAAAGAAGTCTAATAGAGGTTTAAAGGTATTTGGAAAGGCATTATTGACCATTATCATGCATGAATTTCCTCTAGTAGTACCCATCCCGCATTCCTTATGTTAATCTATTAAAATTACTCTGTTTCTAGGATTTTAAGCCAGATAGTATGCTTGAGAAGTACCTGCAATTCCTCCTCCTATAACAATACATACTTTTTCTTCAGTTTTTCTAGATAGGAATGACAAAAACTTTGACATTTTTTAATTTAATAAACTCAGACTCATGAATTTAAGTACAATCATTGATAAAGCTCTTTTTCCTATTTATTTATATTATACTTCAAAA